AATAAGCGGTCACTAAGTATGTGCAGTATAATCCTTATTCTTTTAAAATAGTAAACGTAAGATAATAATAGTAATAGCTATTACTATAGATATATTACTGAATTACACTAAGTGCCAGGGCTATTTTAAGCACTTTAACTGTATTAACTCATTTAATCCTCACAACCCGGGACATTAGGGTCTATAATTACCCCTCTGTACATATGAGGACACTGGGATACAAATAAGATTAAATCACTTTCCCAAGGTACAGAGCACTAAACTACAAGAGCTGGGACTATGGTCAATGGGACTTTACATCCATCAAGGTGACACCTTACGTTTCCAGGCCTTAGAATACAAAGCAGGGTCCAGGCTCCAGAGTCCATCCTCTAAAAACCTCTGCCCTTCCCTCTCTCCTCCTCATAATTTTAATGCATGCAAAAAGACCTATAACAATAGACATACCAGACTATCAACCGTGAAAACCTTTAATGATGGGAGTGTACATGAAAAGGCTTTTTGCCACATTTTAAAATATATAACAGAAAGGTATACATCTATTTTTTTATAACATACATACGTTATTTTGCTAAGTTTTGAACCTAAACCAAGATTTCAAAACATACATGAGTCTAGAATACGAGCAAATAATTTTCTTTCCCTCTTTTTTTTTGGAGTCACAGTCTCACTGTCATCCAGGCTGAAGTACAGTTGCATGATCATGGCTCACTGCAGACTTGACCTCCTGGACTCAGACAAACCTTCCACCTCAGGCTCCTGAGTAGCTGGGACTACAGGCGCAAACTACCATGTCTAGTTAATTTTTTTATTTTTTATTTTTGTAGAGATAAGGTCTCGCTATATTGCTCAGGCTGGTCTCAAACTCCTGAACTTAAGCAGTCCTCTGGCCTCGGCCCCCCAAAGTGCTGGCATTACAGGTATTAGCCACTGCACCCAGCTGAACAATTTTCAAAGCAGAAAATAAACGTTATGGGGAAAAAAACTATATCTTTTTGTGTTTGTTTGAGTTGGAGTCTCACTCTGTCACCCAAACTCAACCTGCTGGGCTCCGGTGATCCTTCTGCCTCAGCCTTCCAAGTAGCTGGAACCACAGGCACGCGCTACCACGCCCAGCTTATTTTTAATTTATTGTAAAGACAAATTCTCACCAAGTTGCTCAGACTAGTCTTGAACCCACGGGCTCAGGCAATCCACTTGCCTCAGTCTCCCAAAGTGCTGGGATTACAGGCTGAGCCACCAAGCCCAACCAAAAACTACATCTTTATAAATAATACAAGAAATGTAATCTAAATTGTGTATCATCTTCAACCATCAAATTTTTAAAAATTCAAAAACTACAGTATTTAATGATAATAAAAGTATGCCAGACCCAGAAAATATGTGCTTCTATTTTGTATCAATAAAAACATGTGTCTTAATGTTTAGCAAGCACTAGGATACACTACTGGTAAAATGAAAATTCATATATGGCAAACTACATCAATTATCCTAATGTATGCCCTGCTAACCCAGTAATTTTTACTTTTATTACACACAGACATTAGTCCCAGCATTTCTTTATTTTATTTTTTTTTTTTTTGGAGTTGGAATCTCACTCTGTCACTCAGGCTGGCATGCAGTGGAACGATCATGGATCAGCCTCCTGAGAAGCTGAGACCACAGGAACATGCCACCACAGCCAGCTAGTACTTTTTGTAGATAGATATGAGGTCTCAAGCTCCTGGATCAAGCAATCCTTCCACCTCAGCCTACTCACATGCTGGGCTTACAGGTGTGAGTCATCGTGCCTAGCCCCAGCATTCTTTTCTTTTTTTATTTTTTTTGAGTTGGAGTCTCACTGTATCGCCCAGGTTGGAGTGCAGTGGCACACTCACGGCCACCCCAGCATCAACCTGAGGGGCTCCAGCGATCCTTCTACCTCAGTCTTCCAAGTAGCCAGAACTACAGGTGCACACTACCATGCCCAGCTAATTTTTGATTTATTGTAGAGACAAGGTCTCACCAAGCTGCCCGGGCTGGTCTCAGACCCACGGGCTCAGGCAATTCACTCACGTTGGCCTCTCAAAGTGTTGGGATTATAGGCTGAGCCACTAGGCCTGACCAGCATTCCTTTCAATAGCAAAATTGCTAACTTAAAAATTGGCGCAAGCATGTAATCCCAACTACTCAGGAGGCTGAGATGGAAGAATAGCTAGGAGTTCGAAGTCAGACTTGACAACACAGCAAGACCCCTGTCTCAAAAAAAAGAAAGAAAAAATTCAGCAATAAGGAATGTGTTTTAAGTAAATTGTGGCAAAGCCATATATGCAAATATTATAAAGCTATTAACAAGCCCTCAAAATGTTTACTGAAATGAGACTACACAATGTTAAAATAAAAAATATATAAAGGTATATTTACAGTATGATTTTCAGCTATGCAAATGTTACATATAAACACACAGCAACCTATATATACATAAAAATGAACACATATATAAACAAAAAATTCAAGGAAATTTATCAAAATGTATCCATGGGTTACAGAATTATGAGTGAGCTACTTTTTTTTATTCTGTATTCTCTCTTTGAGTCAGAGTCTCACTCTGTTGCCCAGGCTGGAGTGCAGTGGCATGCTCACGGCCACTGTAACTTCAACCTACTGGGTTCAGGCCATCCTTCTACCTCAGCATTCCAAGTAGCTGAAACCAAAGGTACACACCACCAAGACCAGTTAATTTTTTTATTTTTTTGATGCATTGTAGAGACGAGGTCTTGCCAAGTTGTCCAGGCTGGTCTTGAACCCCTGAACTCAGGCAATCCTCTCATCTCTGCCTCCCAAAGTGCTGGGATTGTAGGCGTGAGCCAACGCGCCCGGCCTTTTTCTGTACTTTCTACATTGATCTCATATGGTTTTTGTGGGGAAGGGGGGGCTGTTTTTCTTTAAGCAGAGAAGTCTTTTCTCTTCAACACACTGTAAGAGAATGAATGTAGTAGTGTGTTACTACCCACCCAGATATACCTTACTGGTTGCTAAGCAACAGATCCTAAAGCTCCCACATCATGCCCATCTCTAGTCGTAAGCAGAAAAGAGAGGAACTCCGGTACACACATGCCCCATCCGCTGGGGTATAGCCTGAAGAGCACACACAGCAACTTCCATTCTTCACTCACTTTTCCACTGTAGGCTTGCTTTTGACGTGTGGCATAGTGTTCCTCACACAAGGCGCACATAAGGGAAGAACTCTTTAATCCTCTTCTATGTGCCACCCCCTTTCCATCCCTGAGGGACAAGGGATTGCACTGAAGTAAATTCACCCACCAAGTCATCATTCTGGACACTTCTCTGTAATCAACTGAGACAGACAGGTAAGCCTTGGTACTTTCTGAATAAGGCCAATCCTGTTTGGTGAAAGACAGCATAGACTAAGATTTCTTACTGCTGCAGAGAATTGGTGGTTCCCCTGCTAAGACTATAAATCCCAATACCCTTCCAACAGCCAAATCTACAGTACAGAAATTCTTCCACAAGAAAAGCCCAATTCTTGTAGCAACAACCATTAAGAAAATCCTGACCCAGGGCACACTGCCCAAGCTTCTCCCTTGATTCATCACATGAGCCATAGCAGCCAAGTCCTATGCTATGCCCGCCCCTGCTGCAGCAGCAGCCATTTTTGGCTCAGCCCTGCTGTATCCCCAGATGAAAGTCAGAACAGCAAGACAGGATGGCAAGACTTAAAAAGGAAACTGTAATAAATAACAATGGAATCAAACATCATAAAAAATACTGCACTAATCTGCCATGCCATTAAAAATATGGCTTTTTTAATGAGCCCTATATTAAAGTACTTTAAATCATTTCTCATGGAGTCATGAAAACAAATTTGAGGAAATCTATTTCATGACAATGTGAGATCAGCACTACGATAAAAAAAACCAAGATTAATCAGAAGGGGGAACACAATGCTTAGTGAGTTAAGCTTCTACTTAACTAATAGTTAACAACATCAACAATTTTCTCTCCCTTGATTCCTGTTGAAAATCTATAAATATATGCGAAATCCTCTTTACTCTCTTAAAATAATAAATTTAATCTCTTTACTGAATGGGGAACTCATGGAGAGTCAATTTTCAACTTGGTTTCATTTTTCAAAATAGAAGTGATTATAAAAGTGATGCACAGTTAAACATCACTTATTACAAAAAGAAAATGAATGACCTAATCTCTAGCAACCACAGATAGCCATATGAAAACTGTTGTACAACCAACCACCTTAATTTTCTATATATATTTTAAAGATAAAATTTGAATACACATGCTATTTTTAACTGGCTTCCATTGAATAAATGTAGACTTTTTAATGTCAGTAAGTGTGTCTGTAACATTTTAATGGTTATGAAGTATTTCAATGTATGAGGAGAGACCCCAATAAAACTAGAATTAGTTTTTCAAGGCCCCATGTAGTACAGGCTTCCCCCATTTTTTTCAAGGCCCCATGTAGTATAGGCTTCCCCCATTGCTAAGTGGTTCTAGAAACCCATCAGCATCGGTGTACCAGCTAGTGTTGTTGAAAGAGGCTGCATTCAGCTTCAGTGAATTTTTTTTTAATTCTTTTTTTAAAAAATAAAATGGCATTTATTATGGATTTTATAATCAGTATAAGTATATATTTAAATTCTATCTTATATACACAAGATCACAGCCAAGGAGGTTAACCACAATTTCAAGTTTTATCACCAGCTACTTTTGCTTTTTTATCACATTTAAAAATATTCCCTCTTACTACTTACTTCAACAGTGACCTAAAAATTTGTTTAGACAATAATAATTAAGGGTCTTTTCTCTTGTCAGAGTAATTTTAAAAATTAAACGCATATTGAAGATACTACTAAAGAAACTTTTTGGTTATAGCCTCTGCATTGAAAATCTGTAGGGATTTTTCTAATTAATTTTCAAATCATCCCACAACCTCTCTACTCAAAGAAACCACATCTTTGAAGGAATACAAATCAAAAACTGATTCACAAGACCCTATTGCCATAATCACTAATTTTAACAAGTCTCCTAAATATATTCTCTCGGTTTTCTCAATTATAAACTGTCAATAATATGGACACATTTTTAATATAACAGAATGTTTAATTACATCAGTTTCCCAGCAACCCACCAAAGTCATTTAATGATTATATTGGCCATTTCCACTGATCGGCAGGAGGCTCTTCCACTAATGGCTCCCAAGGTTTCCATTGCATCATTTTTCTCACCAGACTTAGTTCATTTTCAGCCTGAAGAATCACCTCTTCTATTTGGCCACCCTGAAGTTGGTCTTCTAATTTCTTAACATCTGGTTCCACTTTAACCATAGCCAGCTTCTCATTTGTAATCTGCTCTGTATACTTTCTATATGTGGCATCAAGAATCGTTGTGTACAATATTCTTAGCCTCTCGTGTGGAGTGTCACATACAGCCAATCCCACGAGGCCAGTGGTCATCTTCAGCACCCCCGCCATGATAGCCTGAGATTCTTTCAATGCATTTGCCCATCTCACGATGGGTGATCTAAGAGCCCACATGCGCATACCACACTGAGTACTGAGCAGTTTTTGAACCAAAATGACTTAACATCCCCATGCCCCACCCTCCCTATTCACTAGATCCCACCACAATCAACTTTGTTTCCCAGGATTAAAAAAGTCCTCAAAGGAAAACGTTTTGCCCATGTGGACAAGGTGAACAAAAAAAACAGCAAAAGCACAAAAGGCATGAATATTGATGAGTCCAAAACTGTTTCATGCAGTGGAAAAAGCATCTTGATAGGTGCATTGCATCAAATGAAGAGTACTTTAAAGGCTTAAAAAGTTTAAACATGTTTTAAAAAGTTTAAACATGTGGCTGCGTTCGGTGGCTCAGCCTGTAATCCCAGCACTTTGGGATGCTGAGGAGAATGAACTGCCTGAGCCCGCGGGTTCGAGATCAGTCAGGGCAACTTGGCAAGACCTCGTCTCTACAATAAATAAAAAATTAGCCAGGCATGGTAGTGTGCGCCTACAGTTCCGGCTACTTGGAAGGCTGAGGCAGAAGGACTACCGGAGTCCAGCAGGTCAATGCTGGGATAGCCATGAGTGTGCCACTGCACTCCAACCTGGGCAACAGAGTGAGACTCCAACTCAAAAAAGAAAAGTTTAAACATGTAAGAATAAATATGCAATTTTTGATAAATTTCAGATTTTTTTGGTTGCCCTTGTATCTACAGTCCATTATTTGCCCCAAGTCCTATTACCAGACCTTCAGCATGTTTCAAAAGATTTACTCTTATAAATGACGACATTACAAGAACAAGAATTTTATTAGAGCCATACAAGTGGCTCATGTCTGTAATCGCAGTACCTTGGGAGGCAGAAGTGAGAGGATTGCCTAAGTCTAGGGGTTCAAGACCAGCCTGAGCAACTTGGCAGGACCTCATCTCTACAATCAATCAAAAAATTAGCTGGGCATAATGGCACATGCCTGTAGTTCCAACTACCTGGAAGGCTGAGGTGAAAAGATCACCTGAACCCAGCAGGTCGAGGCTGCAGTGGCTGTAAGCATGCCACTGTACTCCAGCCTAGGCAACAGAGTGAGACTCTGACTCAAAACAAAACAAAAAAACCAAAAAAAAGAATACCAACTTTCAAAATACAATTCTGCAAAAGCAGACAATATAAAAGGAAGGCTGCAAGGCACGGTGGTTCACGCCTGTAATCCCAGAACTTTGGGAGGTGGAGGTGAGAGTATTGCCTGAGTCCAAGGTTTCAAGAACAGCCTGGGCAACTTAGTGAGACCTTGTCTCTACAATAAATCAAAAAAGTTAGCCAGGCATGGTGGCATGTACCTGTAGTTTTAACTACTTGGAAGGCTGACGCAGAAGGATCACCTGAGCCCAGTGGGCCAAGGCTGTGGTTGGTGGCTGTGTGTGTGCCACTGCACTCCAGACTGGACGACAGAATGAGACACTGACTAAAAAAAAAAAAAATAGTTAAAAAAAAAAGGGCAGCTGATTTCAAGGTAATCCTTGAATAATGTTGAAATAATCCCCTAGAATATTAACAAAATTTAATATAACAACAGTCCAGTTTCTCTTACATCACCTTTAGGACAAGAAGCTAAATCCTAGGTCAAACTATGTCACTCAATCTAATTTGGAAAAAGAAATTCATTTTAGTCTCTGTCTTGTTCAAGATACTGGCTCGTACAAAATACAACAGTAGCAGAACTGGAGAGAAACTGAAACCAATTCCATGAGATACACTGATCCAGGACTCTTATCAGCCATATCTGAGGTACAGCTTCAGATTGGGGGGTGGAGGGATTAAAAACTAAAGACTCTCAGATATGAGCTTGGCATGGTGGTTCATACTTGTAATCTCAGCACTTTGGGAGGGTGGCTTATCATACCACTGCACTCCAACCTGGGCGACAAAGCAAGGCCTTATCTCTTCAAAACAGACAAAAAAAATAGAGAGAGAAACAAAGAGAGGAGCACACACAAAAATGCAATGCAATACTACTCTTCTCACTAAAATGTGTATTGGAATTAGTTGTTCTTCATTTTTTAAAAAGCTATTTAAGTCAGGTATGGTGACACACACCTGTAGTCCCAGCTACTCAGAAGGCTAAGGTGGGAGGATCACCTGAGCCCAGGAGTTGAAGTCTAGCCTGGAAAACATAGCAAGATAACTGTTTCTCTCTTTCTCTCTCCCTCTCCCGCTCTCGTTCTCGCTCTCCACTTCCCTCAGTCACTGCCCCTGTCTCTCTCCCCCTCGGTTCCTTTATCTCTCTCTCCATCTCAGTCTCTCTCTCTCCCCACTTCTCTCACTCCACCCCCCACTATCTCTCACTCTAAAAAAAAAAAAAAAAAA